GTGAGAAGTCTGAATAGATTCATTCTTTCTGCTGCTACTGCTACTGGGGCACATTTTTACCACTGACTTTGGTTCAGGGAAAAGTGACTGAATTTTCTGCCCACGACACTGTTACTTACCAGAGCTGGCTCTTTGAACCATAATAGTTATTTGAACAAGAGCAAGAATAATCCCCTTCTTCCCCTCCTTTCCAGGACTTTGCTTAATGACATGACAAACTTACAGCTAGACTTCCATATTCCCGGCCTTCTATGTTAACCAACACCACTATTTCTGCAAGGAGAGGTCTTCCTCCAGTATGCAGACAGTGCTCAAAGTCCAGTGCTTGACATACAGAAGACAGCTTTTCCCCTTCAATCCCCTGACTTGGCCCTGGGCCCAGCCAGCATGCCCTATCACTTTCCTGCCCCAAATTAATTGGTGACTGGGGCTTTGCCTTTTTTCTTTTACCGGAGTGCAAAGGTCAGAGAGTGTCCTTGTACTCTGCCAGGCAGATTTCTATAGCTTTGAATTTTGAAGAGAAGCTTGAGGATCTTGATTTTTTTATTTCTGTAAAGCCCCTGGGTGAGTTATGCAGTTGTTCCTGATTAATTCTCAATAATATTCAAGCACAGCACTTGAATAATTTGCCATTAAAAATGTAAAGTGTAATCTCAAAGGTCTTCCTGCGACAAAAGTAGTGGAAAATTGACATAAGAAAGATCTAGCTCCTACTCCATGACAATAACATCTGTCACTTATAGTAATTTCCTGATAATAATGAACATGAGGAAAGGGTTGGTGCTGGGTCTCTGCTCAGCAACCGACAAATAATTTAGATGCAAGACCTCAGTAGCATTACGTAAGTGGACAGGTTCAGTTATTCTCAGTAAACATGGAAAGGTTAGGCATTTGTTTCACAAGATACTTAGTGTTTGTGAAGTCCTGAAATTCATTATATCTGATATAGCATGGCAGGTAAATGGATAGAAAATTAATTGGAGGACAGTTCCAAACGTAATAGCTCAGTGGAAACATCCAGAATCAATTAACCAAAGTGAAACTCATTTTCATTGGACACACTCTAACCCTGAAAAGGCACTGGAATGTTCAATTAAGCTTTCAAGCCCAATCCTATTCACATTAGCCATGTTTTTCAGAATAGTTACATCTGAAAATAAAGTTATTAACTTGAAACCTAACGGTAAAGGCAAAATTCTAAATACATGTATGACATAGTGGTCTGCGTCTGATTAGACATTATGTTTTCTGGTCACTTAAAATGAAGCTTAAAACTATTTGGTTAGGCAAATAACTCTCTGAAAGTACAGAATTAAGATGTCCTGTTTATAAAGTTGCATGTTGATTTTCTTCTCACTCTTACACATATTATTTAAGTATGTGTCTCTCACACACATATATATATATATATATTTTTTTTCCTCCTGCTATTCATCCTACCCTCTGACTTTCTTCTTTACTGTGTATCTATTTTTGTTATCTTGTAGTAATCTTGTGTTTCCCCATCTAAACTTATTACTAGAGCTTTTTGACAGCAAGATTGATTTCATATAGTTTCATACTTTCAGTGCCCAGAAAGAGCTGCTAAATAAAGCTTGGCGAGCTGAGGTGCTATTCAATCCAAAATGATCTGAGGCAGACAGGAAAATGGAAGAGTCTTCTTCTTTTACCACATAGTGGTGTGAAGTGAAAAGAAGCTTTCCTTGGAATGAAAGGCTATTTGTGGGTCCAACTCCTACCCCTGCCTTTAACTAAATGTGTTTATTCTAATATTTCCTTGGATGGACCCATGGACCAGTCTTCGAAATTCTTTATGCCTCTAGTTTCCCATCATCCAAAACAAACTAAACAAACACAAAAAATCCAGTTAGAACAGTTGAAAATAGACTTTAGTCAGTCATTGGACCCCGAGTTATTGAGTTATGTTGCTACTGGCAGAATGAGATAAGCCCCTGAGTTAGGGAGTCTGTGTATGTTTCAGAGCAGTAAATATATAACAATGTAATCTAATGTTACTGTTTACTATGAACTGTATGCCGTGATTTAATGTGGGATAATACAAAGTAAATTAAATGCACCAGAAATACATCTTTAATTCAGAGTTCACAGCATGTGGCCCCCTGCAAAAAGTTCTTGTTCCGAAGTGAAAACCAAAATGTTAGCTGCCTTACCCAGGGAAGAAATATCCAAGAAGGATCCCAAAAGAATCTTGGTCAGAGAGTTTTGGCCCTGGGAGCTCATTGAGTTGAGTCAACAGAGTGGAAGAATAGGGAGGTGTGAAGATAAAGGAGTAGCAACTCTGGTGTGGAAAAAAAAAGAAAAATCTTGGGCGTAAGGCAGAAAAGCGACTTCGAGAATGGCAGGGTCCTCAAAAAACTACAAATAGAAGTACCATATGCTCCAACAATCTCACTAATGGGCATTTATCCGAAGAAAAGAAAATCAGTTGGAAAGACACTGTACCTTTAGGTTTATTGCAACGTTGTTGACAATAGCCAAGATGTAGACTCAACCCAGGTGTCCAGTAACAAATGAATGGGTAACAAGTGCTATGTGTAATAGAATACAATTCAGCCATAAAAAAGAATGAAATCCTGTCACTTGCAGCAACATGGATAGAACGGAAGGACATATGCTAGGTGAAATAAGCCAGGAACAGAAAGTTAAGCACAGCCTTATCTCACTCATATAAGGAAGCTTAGGAAAGGATGATCTCATAAAAGTAAAAAGTAGAACAGAGGCTACTGGAAGATGGGGAGGGTAGAGGGAAGGGACACGGAGAGAGATTTGCCAAAGGATACACAATTACAGCCAGATAGAAGGAAAGGTTATAGTGTTCTGTGCCACTGTAGGGAGACCTATAGTTTTACAATACTGTGTAGTTTCAAATAGCTAGGAAGATATTGAATGTTCCCAGCACTAAAAAATGATAAATATTTGAGATGATGGAGATGCTAATTACTCTGATCTGATCACTACACATTATATGTGTCACAACATCACTAGGTATGCCATAAATATGAATAATTATTGTGTGTCTAATAAACAATTTTTAAAACTGAGCTACAAAAAAGAATGAACAATTCAATTGGGCACCCATGTTATAAAAACTAAAAAAAAAAAAAAAAAGGTGGAAGATTGAGTAAATGTAAACATAAGAAAAATTAAACAAAAATATTTTCAGGCATTCTCAAACTCTGTGATGAAATTAAATCCATCCCTACCATGATTACTTATGACAATGGCAATAAGTTGACACTGTCTAGATTTATAAACAGATTTATACTTAGGGAGAATGGCAACACCCTTAAGACCTTGGCATCCTTCATTGAGGAGAAACAAATCATGTAAACTGAAACAATTTGAATGGATATTTAAATACAACATTTTGGATATAGTTATATCTATGAATCTGAATTCTGAATAGTGTTAATGCCCCAAAGTCCAGAATTTTCAGGAATTCTTGGAGGTTCCTTTTCATCATTTTTCATTATTTGCAAATAAATAATTAGTTTATTAAATTTGGGTGTTAGTCTCAGAGACCCAAGCATCTCTGTGGGGCAGAAGGGGTCCCCTCTTTACCCTTGAAGCACTATGCCCACATTTCCCACTTTTCAGGTATAATGTGGCTTAAACAAATGAGTGAATGAATGGATTTCATAGCTATAACACAGAAATTATCTATCTAGCACTGTTCTTTGTGTTGGAGATACAGTACCAATTGCAGTAGCCCTTGTTGAATGAAGGCTAGGTTAAGGAACTGCCTAAGTGATTTGGAAGAGAACAAAGTGAACATGTTTTAGAAAAAGATAATTTATATGTAAAGAGTGTACAAGGTCTTGGTGGTGAGACAGCATCATTTATCCAAAGTTGGAACTTCTTTTTAAAGGTGTCATAACCATCTGATGCCTCTCATTAGCGTTACCAGGTTATTTAGATTAGAGTACTATTTTACCACTTCAAGTTCTGAGCATTCACTTAGGTTATTCCTGGACACAAATTTATGTATGAGTCCACCCAGGGCTTACAATCCTGTCAGGATAGTGCTTATGGAATGATGTTCTAGTGATCATCTGAATTAGAATCTCCTGCAAGCCTTGTTAACTCTTAAGATTCACAACCCTATTTTTGAACCACAGACCAGTATTTCTTGGGGCAAGCTACTGAGTCCATTTATTAGAAGCTCTCCATGTGATTATGTATTATCCCTATTTCTTAAAGTTAGAGAACCTTTATCTTAGAATAATGGGGTCTGATTCCAACCAAACATTGTAGACCTCATTAAGGGTGACTTGATAAGTACATATGATTATATATTCAATAAATGTTACATCACTTCTCTCTGTATTGATTCCCTTTTGCAATTTTGTTAAAAATCTTTCCAAGCATAAAACAATGAACACTAGACTAACCTTTAGAAAAACAATCACTGGGAAATAGGTCAGATAAAAACAAATAATCTGACTTTCAATTACCATCTTTTCAATGAATGGATAACAACCAAAGGACCATGTCAATGCACCATCAGAAGATCTCAAGCTTCCTTCATAATTCTTAGAAAAATAAAACAGTACCAGAATCAAGGTTGAGTTTAAATATAAAGGATGAACCATATTTACCCAGCAATATGTACTTATTAAATTTCCCAGATAGTAGTTTCTACATTAAAATAGCAACACATGTCACTGTTACTTTGAATAAGAGTATAGTATGAGCTTTATTTTATTCCTCAATTTAAAGATCAGAAAATATTTTTTAGAAAAAAATACGTAACATATTCAAGTTAAATGAATTAAGGTTTTATCTTTCTTGGAGTCTGTATTTGGAGCCATGAATTGTGTTTCCATAATTATATTTGCTCATCCTTTTTTTTTTTTTTTTTTTTTTTTTTTTTTTTTTTTTTTTTTTCTGTTCTCTGTAAGGCCTCAGTTTTGTTTGGTCTTTAAATCCTGAATAAAACACCTAGGAACATGTTTCCATTTGCAGTATTTCCCTTTTAGGTGGAACGGCCACCAGACAGAGAGGCTTTCTGGGCTGCATTCGGTCTCTGCAGTTGAACGGGATGACCTTGGATTTGGAAGAAAGAGCCCAGGTGACTCCAGAAGTGCAGCCAGGTTGTAGGGGACATTGCAGCAGCTATGGGAAGTTATGCCGCAATGGAGGAAAGTGCAGAGAAAGGCCCATTGGGTTCTTTTGTGACTGCACTTTCTCTGCATACACAGGGCCATTCTGCTCAAACGGTAAGTGTGGCATGGAGACTGTAGCAGAAAAGTGTATTCAATGTGACTTGAGTGTCTGTCAGTTCTGTCCTTTGCAGCTATTTAAAAAAAAAAATTCCGTTTCTGAATTTGTTTGGCAAAGTGTCTATTGAATATAAAGAATAGGTAAAAGATCCTGGTGTTGAGACAGTATCGCATATTCAAAGATGAAGCCCATCATATTTCATTACTTAAATATTTGACTCATTTCTGAAAAACTAGTGTTTGTTAATGATAAATCCATTGTCACCTTATGTATTTTAAAGTGTTCAATCTGCTTTTTTCCCACCTAATGTTTATGTTCTTAAATTATTTGGTTATTAACAACCTGCCCTGCCGGGCGCAGTGGCTCAAGCCTGTAATTCTAGCACTTTGGGAGGCCCAGGAGGGTGGATCACGAGGTCAAGAGATCGAGACCATCCTGGTCAACATGGTGAAACCCCGTCCCTACTTAAAATACAAAAAATTAGCTGGGCATGGTGGTGCGGGCCTGTAATCCCAGCTACTCAGGAGGCTGAGGCAGGAGAATTGCCTGAACCCAAGAGGTGGAGGTTGCGGTGAGCCGAGATCGCGCCATTGCACTCCAGCCTGGGTAACAAGAGCGAAACTCCGTCTCAAAAAAAAAAAAAAAAAAAGCCAAAACCTGCCCCTTGGGGCAGTTCATTATTTTAAAATTATTTAAAAGCATTACTTTTTTTTTTTTTTTTTTTGAGACAGAGTCTTACTCTGTCATTGTCACCCAGGTTTTAGTGCAGTGGCATGATGTTGGACCACTGCAGCCTCCACTTCCCAGGTTCAAGCGATTCTCCTGCCTCAGCCTCCCAAGTAGCTGGGATTACAGGAGCCCACCACTACACCTGGCTAATTTTTGTATTTTTTGTAGAGATAGGGTTTCACCATGTTGCCCAGGCTGGTCTCAAATTCCTGATGAAAGACTGTAAATGTAACTGTACCTGGCCCTGTTACTATTATTTTTGTTGAAGATATTCAACAAAGCAAGGATATTTAAGATGCATTATTTTAATTTTTATTTGTTTGAGTTTTTAGACAAATATTTTTTCCAGAAACGTAAACAATGTACTATTAAATATTGATACATTTACATAAATAGACACATTTATACATTAATCATACATTTTGTTGTATGATATGTTGAATATCTGCTGGTAAAATAAAATACGGTACTTTTCAGCTTCTCATTCTCTGATACACATCGTGCAAGAAGGAAAGAACAATTGTAGGATTAAGTGTTCTAGAAAGACTTTTATGAATATATAAACATTTATTATTCTTTCATAGTTCCTCATAGAAAACTGACATCAATTTTACTTCACTTACTTTATTTAAAGTGTCTCTTGGCTATTTAACCTTTTCTTGAAGTAGGCTAACAAAACTTGGCTCCAAATTAAAACAACTCCTGACTTACAAAGAAGCATGGGAATGAGTTAATAAAAAGTTGGCCAAATGCACTTTTCAAGACATCTGCTTTTCTCAGGAATAATCTATAATTTACAAATGAACTTGTGATCATAATCATATACTGCTGGTACCATGCTAGGACACTTTTCATCTTTAAAGTGATAATTAAGACCACTTATTTAAAATAACCTGTCTTCATTTTCTGGATGTAAATAATTTCCAGTTCATCTTGCTAAGTGCAACCAGAAATGTTATTCCTTATGAACATATTATATTGAATATAAAATATGCATTATAGATAATAAAATAATGAAACCAACAGATAACCCCTAAAATGTCAAGGGAGTCATTACTGTATGATCCAGTAAGCATCGTCTACAGCTTGTATGTAGTAACCAGCCCTTTTTTTAGTAATGGAGAGAAGCAGATTGAAGAATTTAAAACAAGTTATTTCTCCTACCATCCTCTTCATTTTCAAACATATATTTGGTGTCTGTGTGAGAGAGAGAGAAAGGAGAGAGACAGAATTTGGGATATTAATCTCATACAAGGAAAATGCTACACTTTTGTAAAATGATTTAAAAGAGGTTGGTTAGTTCTGTTTGTTGATCCTACTTTTTCCTCTCATGTTAATACCAGACTTAGCTTTCTTTTTATAGTGTATAATAACTATGAGAAAATGTTTAGACATAGGGGAAAATTTCTGTCTGTCGGTCCTGGGAAAGAAGAGAGTCTCTCAAACGTCCTTCCTTCGTATTTTGTAGCTAGGATACCCCAGTCTTGTAAGATACACTTCATTTAAGACTAGTGTGTACTATCTACAAAATAATAGATGGGAGTTGAATTTTAAATTAAAAAGTAGATGATCAAGGAGATAGAAGACAAGCCTGGTTTGTGTTTGAACTCAGAGAAGATAGTGTTTAACTTTCAACTGTACAATTATACTACTGCATTAATCATATGTCATTTTAACAGAAAGCCATTTCAAAGATCATTATGAAAGGTCTATTAATTTACTTTATTATTCAATTCTAGTTTGGGGTTGTTTCTTCTTTCTATGCAATTTATTATTTAAAGCAACTAAAATATCAATTATTTTAACCAAAACAGGATCCTTGTAGTTAAACATTTTAACCAAAAATATACATGTTATTTCAGAGATTTCTGCATATTTTGGATCTGGCTCATCCGTGATATACAATTTTCAAGAAAATTATCTTTTAAGTAAAAACTCCAGCTCCCATGCTGCTTCATTTCATGGTGATACGAAGCTGAGCCGAGAAATGATCAAATTTAGTTTCCGAACGACACGAACACCAAGCTTGCTGCTTTTTGTGAGCTCCTTTTACAAAGAATACCTTTCCATTATCATTGCCAAAAATGGTGAGTTCTTTTTAGATGAGAGAAAATTACGTTAGAACACTAGCTCTGTAATATGGATCTTTCTTGTGTTCTTGCTTCTCAAGCTACAAACAGAAAAACAGAGTGTGCCTGTTTCTGTATTTACATTTGAGTAGTATCCTATAAGTCTAATCTAAAAGGATTATTTAAAATGATTAAGATGCCTTTATCTCTTTGTAATTTTGATACTTTTACATATGCAGTGTATTTTTATTTATATAAAATGCTCATTATATTTTATTACTGTTAGTTCCTTGATTATTCCCTATGAATATCAATATTTGTTTTGTAGTTCATTTTGAAATTAGGTGTCTTGTTGCATGTAAATATTTCCTGCAAATCAAAGCAAAGAAACATTGAGGGAATGTTAATAAACCAGCATAATGGATACGAAGATGTCCACAAGATGATCTTTCTGTTGTACTTTTAGTCAAAAAATTGTCGTGGTAAAAAAAATAGTATATCCATGCAGTGTTAAGGACATGTTTATTAGGAAATGTGTTTCCTACAGAAAACCATTGACTGCTGTTTTTCTGTTTTCTGTATATGGATTAAAAGTAAAACTTTTGGAAATAAATTCTCTGGATAAGGAAAGTAAACATATAAACATGACTGTATCATTTCAAGTAATTCAAGTATATCCCAAGGGCACTGAACACCAAAGTAAAAATAACATTATTCCTTAAGTGTATTTATCCTTCCTGTGCATTTTGAGCTTAACTTTTATTATATGTTAGGGCATTTTCTTTGTTAAATGGAAATATATCCTGTGAAATAAATTAATTGACATCTCCAGGCAATTAAATGAGTAGTACTAATTCTGATGGTAAATTTGGCTTAAAAGCATTCATCTGACCATTATTTCATTTTAAAGAGTATGACCATGACCTCTTGGGTGTATTTCTTATCTTTAGTAAAATTGCATTTTGCCTTTAATAATTTCATTAATTGTTATATTTCTGGAGTGTGAGATATATTTTCTAAAGATTATAAAAACAGAATATTATTGCAATATTAAACAATCGTTTGGTGTTTCAGGAACACTTCATATTATTTTTTAAGTAAGAGGCCAGTGTGGAGATTTGCATATGCTTAATCTGAGTTGATTTTTAGAGAAGTAAATTAAAGATTTGCAGGAAAGATAGTGCTTATGAGCAACATACTTGGTTGTGATTTTGAAAATACAGTACTGCAATTTCACTTGGAAACAGACTCCTAAGGATTATGATAAGAAGGTATCTTCCAATTTTTCCCTCAAAATGACTAACTAACAATGAAAATGTGACTCTGATTTTTAAGTAAGCCATTCTCACAGTACTATTTTTACTAAAAATCTTACTATTTTCCCCCACTTTAGGAAGTTTACAGATCAGATACAAGCTAAATAGATCTCAAGAGCCTGATGTTGTTAACTTTGATTTTAAAAACATGGCTGATGGACAACTTCACCATATAATGATTAACAGAGAAGAAGGAGTGGTCTTTATAGAGGTAATATAGTAAATTCAGCAGAAGCAATCATTGTAATGACTCTCTAGCATGAAGGATCTCAAGCAGAAATTTGATGAGCACAAGAAGCAGAGACACTTTGAGTGGTCTTCTTCTGTAGATAATAGGCCATCAAATGTAGTCAGAATCTTTTTAAGCAATACAATTTTGTTCATTATATTATTAATGCTAGATAGTTACAATGTCAATCTTTTCTAACTTGTCTCTGCAAAGAAAGAAAATGATGTCATAGTGTACTACTTCTAGGACCATTGCTACGCTGATGAAACCAGTTTACTTTAGATAAATGCAGTAATAAATTCTATCAGAAAATAATGATTGTAATGTCAGAATCATTTTCGTTAATGATGTGAGTCACAGCAAAGAAAGTGGAATTACTAATGGAGCCAGTTTTTGAAGAAAAGCACTAATAATTTTTTGGTATCCTACACAGGATAGCTTAGCTGCCTACCTCAAATAAAAATACCAAGTAAAAGTCTTAAGGTGAAAAATAACCTTTTGTATAATTTTGTTAGCTTCATCGATTTTGGATTTCTTATATAGTGGAGAAAAATAAAACGATATAAGGGGATAGAAGGTGGGGTGCACTGGTATCTGAGGGTACTATAGAAATAACATAGAAAAACCTAAATAATTACATTTTTAAAGTTTGTGTTTTTTTTCTCAATGTGTGGGGCCATGCTAACAACTGCCTAATATATCTTTCTCTCTTGTCCTCCTTTGCTTCCTGTCTCCTCAACAAAATGCCATCCATTTGAATGTTTTTATCTCGTGTAATAATTTTGTAGATTGACGATAATACAAGGAGAGAAGTTCACCTGGCATCAGGCACAGAATTCAGTGCAGTCAAATCTCTGGTCCTGGGCAGGATTTTAGGTAAGTAAAAGAAACAACCTTTCCCCTAAAAATGGATCAGAAAAGTCTTATTACACACACACACACACACACACGGACTTCATCATGCCAGAGGAAATCGCTTGCCTATTTTGATGATGAAGTGAGTGATAATCAAGGTAGAGATATATACAGCCATGAATAGGGTCTTCCCACAGGAGGAAGAAGCATCTTCCTTTGATAGTGACATCACCTGGTCTCTTTCCTGCCTCAATACAGCATGATGAAATATGATACTATTCTCACATTTCAAAAATATTAAATAATAAAAAATAGTAAAGTATATATTGATCAGGTGCCAAATAGACAAACTTGCCTCTGATGACAAAACTAAGATTAGGTCTGAAAAATGGAAGAAGAATGCGATTGCGTTTCTTCTCGTTAGTTAATATGCTTCAGGTTATGATTTGGATTCTATTTGCCTTGCTGTGGTGTTGCCCTTGGCAGTCACATTTGCTCAGATGCAATCTAAATGCCTTATAATTCTTATTTCTTTCTATCAGTTACCTTTAATTACAGCACTGGAGTAGAAGTGTAATGTTGCCATTTTAAGATCAGAATACTTCTACATTTTTACACTTGCCAACAAGGACTAAATTGAAAAGTAAATTTTAATAGATATTTTCTTTTCAGTTATACATAAATCATTAAGAGTATTGCAGTTTCATCTTATTTGTGGGGAGAGGACTTCTTGTAGCCTAATTTTTATTCCTAATCTGGTATTTGACGCTAGTCTGAAATATTTTGTCCAAGATTGTAAATGGAATTTTGTTTTTTGACCTTTGCAGTTATTTGTACATCAATGAATCATTCCTTATGTTCCCTGTACCTAATCTCAGAATCTTGAGAATGTTTGATTAAACCCATAGGTGAATGATCAAAATATTGGCCCTTGAGAAGGTTAATAGTTCAGCAAATAAATATTTATAGGCTTTCACATACTGTGATGAGCACCAAGATTATGTGTTCTTATTCTCCAGACAAACAGGGGAAATACCTTGAATTGTAATGTTCTTCCATTATCTATTGTGGACACAAAAAATATGTGCAAAGTACTTCTTAGATATTTGGAAGCTTAACTGAAAAATTCCAAGGGAGTCTCACAGTGTTATTATATAAATCCAACTATTTAAGACTGACATGTGTATCATTTACTCTAAGAAAACACATATAACCAATAACATATTTAGCATGAAATGATTCCACTTTATTCTGTAGCTTTAAAGTTGATCCCAATCTTGCCCCTGATGTATAATTAACTGATAAGACAATGTTTACTCTAAAGTCTGAGCACATGAGTATTACCTTTAGACTAAACTTCAGATGCAAAAACATAGCTAGGCTGTCCCTTTGTTTAAAACAGAAGAGAATATATTTAGTTATTTCGTATTTAGTACTGGGAAATATTTATAGCGATTTCAGACTACCCTAGAGGTAAGGACACTAGTGTCTAGGAGACTATTCAGCTCTGGGTATGTAACTGGCTCTGCCTGTTTACCTTTGGATATGTAATTAAGGTATTTCTGAACATTATTTTTTAAATAACCTTAGAGGACTTATTTCATTAATAGCTATGACACAGCTTAGGAAGCCACAGAGAATTGTAAAAATCTAAACAAACAAGCAGCAACAAAAACAAAGCCTCAACTGTCTTAACTGTGGGACCCATCTGCTTCCCTGTGTATTTCAGCCTTGAGGGAGGTATGTTGCAGGTAACTGGGGAAGGGACGAGAGCCCCAGAGAGACCCAGAATGAGGCAAAGATGTAGGGATTATAGGATGGAGCATCAACCTCTGCAATGAGGCCGTCTGTCTGAAAATATCTTTGCTGAACATCAGGCTCATGGAAGACTCAGCTCCTTATTCTGTCCTCACTTAAGTCTACCTTTGCACATGACTATTGTTATTCACAGAATTAAAAATATGTGCAACTATGATTTGGAAGAGTCCTCATCCCCCAAACTCTACATTAGTATATTAGATGACATTAATGAGTGGAATCATAAGCTAATACTGCATTCACAGATGTCAAGAAGAAATATTAGGTAGGTTTTCTGTGCAAGATATTATACCACTTTGAGTAGAAGTACATTCAATATACTGTAAAACAATTGGAAAGCTGATTTACATCCTATAAGGAGGATTGTATTAACCAAACAGGAGAATAAAATTCAACATATGAACGCTCATTTTCCTTTTTGTAAATGAATAAGGGAGATTCCTATTGAATTAAAGATGTTAAGGCTTTTACTCAAGAGTTACATATTATTCAGATATGCGTATCACATATGCTGAAAAGTAAAAGTCCAAATTTAGCAATGAACTTCATGGTCTAAGTCAACTCACTCTCCTAAAAGTGCAAGTGATAATTTATTTAGCATATGCCTAAGGTATGGATCTTTACCAGGAACTAATCATTTATCATTAACAGAAAAAAAAAAAAAGGATAACTTATGGTCAAATTTTGTGTGGTATATGAATTTATAGTGAAAAGTTACATAGTATATCCTTATATTTTAAGGCAATACATTAATTTATAGTAAAATAGATCAATAAGATTTTTCAAAAGTAGAGTTACCTCAATGTGGTTTTGATTTGCATTTCTCTAATGACCAGTGATGATGAGCATTTTTTCATATGTTTGTTGGCCCCCTGTATGTCTTCTTTTGTAAAATGTCTGTTCATATCCTTCACCCATTTTTGAATGGGCTTGTTTTTTTCTTGTAGTTCTTTGTAAATTCTGCATATCAGCCCCTTGTCAGATCGATAGACTGCAAACATTTTTTCCCATTCTGTTGGTTGCTGATTCACTCTACTGACTGTTTCTTTTGCTGTGCGGAAGCTGTGGAGTTTGATTAGGTCCCATTTGTCTATTTTGGCTTTTGTTGCCATTGCTTTTGGTGTTTTGTTCATGAAGTCCTTGCCTATGCCTATGTCCTGAATGGTTTTGCCTAGATTTTCTTCTAGGGTTTTTACGGTGTTAGGTCTGATGTTTAAGTCTTTAATCCATCTCACACAAGTTAGAATGGTGATCATTAAAAAATCTGGAGACAATAGATGCTGGAGAGGATGTGGAGAAATAGGAACACTTTTACACTGTTGGTGGGAGTGTAAATTAGTTCAACCATTGTGGAAGACAGTGTGGCGATTCCTCAGTGACCTAAAAATAGAAATCCCATTTGACCCAGCAATCTCATTACTGGGTATATATCCAAAGGATTATAAATCATTCTACTATAAGGACACATGCACACGAATGTTCATTGCAGCACTGTTTACAATAGCAAAGACCTGGAACCAACCCAAATGCCCATTGATGATAGACTGGATAGGGAAAATGTGGTACATCTACACCATGGAATATTACGCAGCCATCAAAAACGATGAGTTCACGTCCTTTGTAGGGACATGGATGAACCTGGAAACCATCATTCTCAGCAAACTGACACAAGAACAGAGAATCAAACACCACATGTTCTCACTCATAGGCAGGTGTTGAACAATGAGAACACATGGACACAGGGAGGGGAGCACTACACGCTGGGGTCCATTGGGGGGAAATGGGGGAGGGATGGAGGGGTGGGGAGGTGGGAAGAGATAGCATGGAGAGAAATGACAGATACAGGGGAGGGGAAGGAAGGCAGCAAACCACACTGCCATGTGCGTACCTCTGCAACAATCTTGCATATTCTTCACATGAACCCCAAAACCTAAAATGCAATTAAAAAAACAAGTAGAGTTACTAATTTTCCAAAGAGAATTGGTCTGCCTGAAAGTCACTTATTGTGTTAGACCAGGTCCTCCAAGAAACAGCTGTCAAGACAGGACTAAGAATGTGAGAACTTTATTCGGGGAAAAGTTCTGTAAGAGAAAAAGGGGAGGAGCTGGCTAAGGCATACAGGAACATTAGATGTCCATGATACTCTGTCTACAAGGGATGGAGAGAGAAAGGGAAAATCAGACAGAAGCATGGACATGTCCTAGGCCAGTGTGTAGTCTAAGAAAGATTTAACAAAATGTTTAGGGAGTCATTGAGTTAAAGTCACCCTCCAGAGGAGTCCCTTGTTTTCCAGGGATGAGCCTGCCTTATAATGCATTAGGGTCCCTTGTTTGCCAGGGATGACCCACCATTAGTTGGGGACAGCCCATGGGAATCATGGCCTTGGTAGAAGCATGGGGATGGATCTTGGAGCCCAGCAGTTGGGACCCTTGGTCATGTACTCTTACTGTATTTGGTGGTCTTTGGGCCGCATTCTCATGTTTCCACACCTATCAAATATGCTTTGCATTTTTGTAAGCCCAGGTGACTCCTCGATTCATATATTAAATACATACCTTGTAGTCACCTACCATGTAAACAGAGAATTCCACTCAACAAGGTAGACATTATATCTGCCCTTACAGAGCTTATGGCAGTGGGGATTTAGATAATCATCATAACAAATGTCCCTTTGTATCTACATGAGTATAATGTGCACCAGTATTGCTTTAGACAAAATAGTCTCAAATTACCCTCCAAATTAAAATATATTAAAATGCTTCTAATATTTTTATAATTTCTGGATATTTCTTCTAAGGGAGTAACATATAAACATTGCCAATTTTTTTTTTGAGTTATAATTTGCCTACACTTACAACAAAAGACTTAAGTATATGACTATTCCATGCTTTTTCAGATGGAAACAGAGAAATTAAGGAAATACTTTCCCTCTCTTGACTTTTTCCAGTGCTCATTTCTGAAATGCAGAAAGGATTCTAAGGGTAATTTTGAATTGCTGCCACTGTTAAAAATGCTGCTAGCAGATATTGAGAAAGGTAGCTGAATTTTAAGAAACAACATCAAACTGTACTATGATGACATGGTAGCCATTTCTATCTACCTCTTACAATAAAAATTTTGGAAGTGTTTAATAAGTCTGGCAGTAATAATATATGATAGTTTAGAGCTATGGTGGGAAGATCAAGGTTTCAGTTAAACAGCTC